AATAATGAAAATATCTCCTGAGGCAACCTAGTACAGTTTTGGACAATTCCAGTTTTTAGGAAATAAAATTATATACCCATGGCACTCAGTATAACTATAAATGATTTTTGTATAAAAATACATATCAATCTTTACATCTAATGTATTCTCATTTGTCACACCTCAACACTCTAAGTACAATACAGGATTCTCATCTAGTCCTATCCTCCAAATACACTCTCATCTGTCAATATTCCACTTAGACCATGGTATCAAAAGTGAGCCCCAGATCCAGTTGTAGGTCTTAGCAATACTTAGCATCATTTGCCATTTTCTGGACCAAAAAATATATATTTCCATTAATCTACTTAGCATTGCATTGCTCTGGGACAGTCACATCATATTGGTGATTCTGACTGAGTTCTCAGCTAACTAAAAGCTTTTCCACAAAATAGGACAGCAGTTACCCAGTTTCAGCCAACTAGTGCCAAAGACTTAGAATTTCTAAGTCTTCTGATGGACTTCTAAGAGAATACAGAAATGTAAATTTTGGTGTACCTAATACGACTGAGGACCTAGAACAGCCAGATGGAGTACCTGAGAAAGGCAGCAGATATCTGGTTGTTGATGGATTTACTCTAAACTTTAGGCGTCTCTCTCACATCAATGTTTCTCTCTCTGTCTCTCTCTCTCTCTTGAAGTCTCTCTAAAAATAAATGGAAAAACATTCATGGGGAAGGATTAACAAAAAATAAAATAAAGTGAAATAAAATAAACTGTAGGTGACAAGTAATTAAATTTCCATGATGCTGACCTGGTCACTGACTACAGTTTTCCATGGTAAGAGGAGACAAAAACTCTGCCTCGTGCTGAAGAGTGTGCAATTGGAGTATCCTCAGGTTGGGTACCATGAAGACATAAAAATAAGGTAATTTAAATCCTCAAAAGGGTCTGGAACCACTGAAACATGGTTTTCATCCCTCTGCTCTTGCCCCATAATGGAAAAGGCCTATAAGATGCCAGGCTTTCTTGCCTCCCTTGTTAGTGAAGGAGTGAGCATGGGCTGCTTTCTGCTTCAAAGGCTACCATACGGCCACTTCATAACTCCAGGCCCTCAGATAGACCACCACCTCCCCCACCTAAGGAGTAAAATTTGAAAATGAGCTTAGAGATTCAATACACTAACCCTTTGTGTAAACAAACAAAGCTTCTTAGGGAATAGCAATAAATATAATTATATAATTTCAAACAATAAATTTGTCTTGAATTATGTCTTTCAATTAATCAAGTTGGGTTAGGCCTGAGGTAGACTGTAAAGCTATAATTATTGTCGTAATTTGGGTTCTAGCAAAGGTAGATGCTGAAGCAATGTTTTTTTTTGTTTGTTTTTTTTTTGTTTTTGTCATATAGTTTTATTTATATATTTTCAGCTCTCACATATAATCCTCCAATATTTTAACTTTTTTTTTTTTTACAAAATTTGGGGAAATCACAGAATAAATAATTTTTTAAATCTGATGTCTTATTCCACTATAAGGAGAAAATTTTTTTATTAAATTAATATTTCTTGACATAATTTTTTATATTTTGTTCCAAGTTCAAATAGAACAGTCTGGAACAATAACTATCAAATTTCAAATGACAAATGATGAAATTTTATCTGGGCAATTACTCTATAAAATAATCATTTTTATTCATGTTACAAATGAAAACTGAAATACAAGGAAGATAATTTGCAAAGATACTATATGCCAAGCATTAACCTTGCTTTTAGAAATCCTGCCTTTACAAGAAGATCATACTTCTTTAAAATTGTAGGTAAACCTTACAATTTACTTGGGATTTAGATAACACTATTTTTGCTATCTTAAAAAAATTGCTTTTGCCATATATCATCATCCTTCCTTCAGCTGCTCTTAGATTTTCAGGAAGAGATGAGTTACTTGTACTCATTTGTACTCATTGTGAAGCAAGGGTTAATGTGTGAGCAATTCATTTAGTTGAGGAATGGGAAACTGAGAGAAGAAGATGACTAAGAAAAGCAAGATGGCCCTGTTGTGGGTGACTAGGACTTAGACCTGGAAGCACCCAGGAAACGTGCAACCAGGAATTGTCTTGCCTGAGAGGTGAGGGAGTATCCATATACCAATTACTGTTGTTTTTGGTAAAGGGGCACTAATTTCTATGCATGAGTCAAGTGGTTTTCTTCAACTTTAAAAAAAAAAAAAAAAAGTCTTCGGAAAAGAGATGGAGGTCAGCTGGTGTGTGTTATATGAAATACAGTGGGGCATGGGCGTGGTTCCACTCTTGAATAAGTGAAAGTCCTACCCTTCTGAGCTTGCAAGTTAGTAACGAGATGTTAGAAAATAAACACAGCAAAATGTGAATAATGACACATGTGCACATGTATTGGGAAGTTAAATTTTCTGGGAGGTTTTTTGAGTGTCAGTGATCTGCATTCACTTAAAAATGATCATGCTGAGCCGAGACGGGTTTGGCTCAGTGGATAGAGCATTGGCCTGCTCTAAAATCAATAAAATATATTTTAAAAAATGATCATGCAGAAATCATAGCATTGTTTGGGTATTTATCAAGCAATGTACTTGGTACTAGCCTCCTTTGAAGTATTGAATTCACAGAGCATTTTACTTTCTTCCTATTATTGATATCTTTTTATTCCTCACTAATTTATCCTTGTGTCACTTGCTATGTTTTTTTAAATTATTATTATTGATTTTTTACAAAGAGGAAGGAAGAGGGATAGAAAGCTAAAAACATTGATGAGAGAGAAACATTGACCAGCTGCCTCTTGCACACCCCCTACTGGGGATGTGCCCGCAACCAATGTACATGCCCCTGACTGGAATTGAACCTGGGACCTTTCAGTCCCCAGACCGATGCTCTATCCACTGAGCCAAACCGGTTTTAGCTCACTTGCTGTATTTTGTTTGCCATTTGAAGCCACCATAAATCCTATTCTAAAACAGAGAAAAAGAGATTGCACAAGAGAGCAAATGAAAGGAAGGGGGGAAGATAATAGAAAGAATAAAGCATATATATTTTTATTTGATGCAGTGGCTCTTTGAGAAGTAAAATGGGTATGGTAAAATCTGCCTTTTCTTTCCACTTACATTATGTGTGGTTTCCTGAATTGGTAAGATTTTGAAAAGATTCTTCTTGCAGGGCAATATTTGTTCTCCTTTCGAGAGAGCCTATTAAATAAGTAAATAAAAAATAGATGGCCCTGCTAGAAGAGCTGATGAAAAAGTTCATACTAGGTAGAAAGGATTTAGAAAACTTTACAAAGCTGATCAAATGAACAAGTATCCTAGGTCATTTATCTAAAATGTTCTGGTTAGCAGTATTATATAAAAAGAAGAATGCTTTGAGGATTGTTGAAAATGGTCTCAAAAACCCAGAAAACATGATGATTGAAATAATAACAGACAGACTTGGAAGAAGCACTGTGTACTCTTCCCAGAATCCTCTTGATACACTAGGAGATCTGAGAGGAATTATAACTGGATGTGGAGTTTCTATAAGGAGGACATTGGCAGAACTGATTCAAAGCATGTGCCTATTTGTCAACAGTGGTGTAATTTTTTACAATCACTTATGGAGCTGTCTTCTTAGCAGAGACAGATGCTAGTGATCACAAAGAGAGACAAAACTGGAAAATGAAAGGAGCATACTGATTCAGTTAAAGACTTGGGTTCAAATCCCAGTACTACCACCTACCACTAGCTGAGTGACTTAGGGAAGGTCATTTAACTTTTCTAAACCTTATTTCCTAATCTTCCTAATGGCATGACCTAGGATTAGTAGGTATTATTAATACAAGATGGCAGCCCTTGTTAGGTAGCTCAGTTACACCAAAGTTTCAGGTTCAATCCCTGGCCAGGGAACATACAAGAATCAACCAATGATTGCATAAATAAGTGGAACGATGATGTTTTGTTCTCTCTTCTTTCTCTCTCTCTTCTCTCTCTCTCTCTTTCTCTCTCTCTCTCTCTCTATCTCTCTCTTTCTCTTTCTCAAATCAATCAATAAAAAATAATAATACAAAATGGCTATAATAATCAAATGAGATAAAGACTATGCAAGTATTAAAAATCATGGTTGTTAACACATTTCCCCACTGTCATATTAATCAAAAAAAAAAGATGTTTTGTTTAAAGTCCTAACATAGTTGTTATCAGACAATTTAGGAAGATCTTGGTTATCATCTACCTTTTTATATTGTCCCTATTTCAATTCTATGTCTATTGAAAATATACAGTTTTAATAAATAAATATTGATTCAGAAATAGTGATATTTCTTACCATGGTAACATCTTGCTCTCTAGTGTCCTGAACTTAGTAGCATGTTGACATCTGAAATGTTTCTGATGTGGAAAGAGATATTTCTTCCCTGCTAGTTATACATGATAGATAGCTGTGTATGCTTTTATCAAATACAAGGTGTGTGAGACCCTAACTGTCCCTCAACCTGAAGCATCATTCTGTTATCAAACAAGATGCCTGGCATGGCATAGCCGGATAAAGCCCCAAAGCATCTGTAGTTGTATGTGCTTATACATGCCAGGACAATAAATCACTGAGTATATATACATAAATTCAAAAGCAGTCTATCTGGTTAATATCCCTCAAATTATACTACCATTTGTCCAGGCAAAGCCGCTTCAGCTTAAATTTATCATATATGTCATAAGTCCCAACAACTAAGGTTTTTTATGATCAAGCTCATTGGCTTCTTCCTCAACTTTTTAAAACATATCCATAACCCTCTATCTTTGGCCTGTAATCCTGGTACAGTCTGTGTCTATTGTGAAGATTTATTGACTACTCTGCTTTGAAAACTAATGCAGGACCAGAAAGGCAAGACAATTTCCACACAATGTTGATTGTATAAAATAAGATAGCATGGGGGAGAAGAAAGCTCCAACCCTGTTTATTCATTATTGGCTAATAAAATGTTAATAATGGATTTTCTGAAATGAACCCAACTGTCAGGTGCCAGATCAGCTCTGTTGTTGATACGCTGTGTAGGCAGCCAGTTCTGCCAAGTCCTCTGTTATCTTTGGCACCAGATGAGGTATTATTACATTGGTAGACTGGATGTAAGCTAGAAATAGAAAGCAAATACACCCATTGGATAATTGCATCAAAATGAATCATGTTCTTCAAACATCTAATTAGATAGATAGCTTGTAAGAACACATTAACCAAAATAAGTCTCAGTGCGTATGCGAAGATAATAGTTGTGGCTAGCTCGGTCTATCCACACAATTGCCATGACAGACCACAACCTTAGTTACTTTATTAGAGTCCAAGAAACCTCCTTATGCTCAACTATGATTAGAGAGTTACACTCAAAATGGATGAGTACAGGACACTTCCCAAACTCCAGTGGAAACAAACAAACAAAAATTCCTAGGAATTGTATTTCTTAAGAGCATGACAAAAATCCAACAGTGATATATGTATCTTTTACAGATGCTTTAAGAGATAAAAACAAAACAAACAAAAAAAAAACATATATCCTTTACCCATGACTTCTATAGGAAAAAGTACAATCTCTTCTGATTATTGACTGTTTAAGATGCTTGTGGCAAAAGTAGATGAATGAATGAATGAATGAATTAAGGAAGTAATTTTTACTTAAGTAATTTTTAAATATAGCTATCAGAGTCTAATGGTTGCTTTTCTAATATTTTATCAGTGGAATCACTAGAATGTACAAGAAATGGAGTGTAAGTTGAAAACTTGCAGCAAAAGAGTATATTTCAGAGGAGTAGACTCTCTGTGCCAGTATGGAATGGCCTGGGTAGAGTATTTTGAATGCGGGTGTGGTATTTGGCACAGAAATCTCCATTCTTATTCCGACCCCAATGTTTGGACCAAGATGTAACTTCTTAGAAGCATGCTAGGTGAACATGTCTTTCAAACCATAGCCCACCTCCTTCAGAAGCTGGGTTGCCTTTCCTCTCGGTGCACCACAAAGCTCAATTCAAAGCTTGATTCTTAGATCCTAAGATTAAGTTAGAAGAAAATCAAACATAGATCCTTTGGCTTAAATGACCTATTTTACCTCTCTACCACTTAAATTTTCTAGAAAATAGTTCATACTATAATACTTCCCAATCTTTCTAGAAAAGCAAAAAGGACCAAGGGAACTCATGAAACTTACACTTGACTTCAGCTATCCTGGTCTATCACTGCCAAACCTGTCATTTTCACTGAATGGTGAATATTCATATTTTCCCCCTTTCTTATTTATATTAGGCCAGGCAGATAAGGAAGACCAGCCTACATTGCCAACCTAGATAGAGAAGTCCTAATTTCCTTTAAAGAGGCAGTATTTCTTAACTTCGTGAGATATTGGAAACCAGGATAGAGAAAAAGATAGGACTGAGAATTAATATTTTAAAAATATATATTTGTTTTCTTGTCTCTCCGCACCCTTGAGTTTACATTCACTTTCTTTAAGGTATATTTTTGCTTAAATAGTTTCCTTCATTTCCACTGTCACATATCAAAACTGCTACTTTAGGATAACTGAGAGATACTTTGTGGGGAAGCTCCTATTTTCATACATAATGTGGACAATAGATAATATTATTTGAGAACTATTCCCCTGGCACCGTTCAACACTTTTTTTTAAGCTTTATTGATATATACTATTAATTGACATATAGTAATGTGTAATTTTAAGGTATACACATGATGAATTGATATATGTGTATATTGTGAGGTGATGACCACAGCAATAAGGTTAGTTAACACACCCATCGCCTCACATAGTTATCATTTGTGTGTGTGTGTGTGTGTGTGTGTGTGTGTGTGTGTGTGTGTGTGTTGAGAACTTAAGATCTACTCTCATCAACTTTGAAGGACACAATACAGTATTGTTAATTATAGTCACCATGCTGTATATTATTCATCTTATAACTGAAATTTTACCATTTGACCTTCTTCACCCAATTCTCCCACCCTTAACCCCATTTCTGGCAACCAGTAATCTGCTTTCTGTTTCTGACTGGAATTTTTTTATAAGTGAGATCGTGTAGTATTTGCCTTTCTCTGTCTAACATATTCCTATAGTATAATACCTTCCAGTTTCATCCCATGTTGTTGCAGATGGCCAGATTTCCCTATTTAATTACTGAATAATATTAGATGATAGATGAAATAGATAGATGAAGATAGATAGATAGATAGATAGATAGATAGATAGATAGATAGATAGATAGATAGATAATCTTGGCTATTGTAAATAATGCTGCAGTGAACATGAGGGTGCAGATATTTCTTCAAGATAATGATTTTATTTACTTTGGATATTTATCTAGAAATGGGATTGTCAGATGATATGATTGTTCTGTTTTTAATTTTTTGAGGAACATCCATACTGTTTTCTATGGTGGCCACAACAATTTACAGCCCCACCACAGTGTATGAGGGTTCCCTTTTCTCTAAACCATTGCCAGCTCTTGTTATTTGTTGATTTATTGATAGCAATGCTGCCAGGTGTGAGGTGGTATCTCATTGTGGTTTTAGTTTGCATTTCCATGATGATTAGTGATATTGAGCATCTTTTCACCTGTCTATTGACCATATGAATGTCCTCTTAGGAGAAATGACTATTCAGGTCCTCAGCCCATTTCTTAATTGGATTGGATTTTTTTCTGGTATTGAGTCACATAAGTTCTTTATATATTTTGGATATTAAACCCTTATCACATATATATTATTTTTTAGTATTTTCTCCTGTTCAGTGGTCTTTTTGTTTTGTTAATGGTTTCCTTTATTGTGTAAATTTTTTAAGTTTCATGTAGTCCATTTGTTTTGTTTTCCCTTGCCTGAGAAGACATACTCAAAAGGATATTGTTAAAAGTTATGTCAAAAAGTTTAGTGCCTGTGTTTTCTTCTAGGAGTTTTATGGTTTCATGTCTTACATTTGGTGTATATGGTGTAAGAGAGTGGTCTAATTTTATGTTTATTTTATATATATATATATATATATATATATATATATATATATATATATATTTATCCATTTTTCCCAACATCACTTATCGAGGAGACTGTCTTTATTCCATTGTATATTCTTGCATCCTTTCTCATAGATTGGTTGACCATACAAGCAAGGATATACAAAGTAAACTTAACATGGATTATATTTCTGGGCTCTCTATCTTCTATACCATTGAGCTACAAAACTGTTTTTATTATTGTAGTATAAAGCTTTTGTAGCTCAATGGTATAGAGAGCATAATACCACTTTGTTCTTTACCAAAATGCCTTTGGCCCCACATTCTTCTCACACTGAACCTCTTTAGAAGGATTATTCTGAATTCACCCAGTTCTGAAGCTCTAGTTCTTTAAGGTCGGCTATGGGAGCCTTATAATTTTCTCTAGTGGTGTTGTGTTAACCTGATTCTTTATGATATCTGCACATTTGAGTAAGCAATCCCCTATTCCTGACTTTACAGATTTGCTATGGTAAGGAAAGACCACCAGACAGCTCAGCCTGGATTACTGTATGGATCTGCTGGTAGCATCCACAGGTAGGCGGATCTTCTCATTAGTATCTCTGGTTGGGTGATGTCACAGCTCTGGGGTATACAACAGTACTATTGTCTGGGCCCATGTCCAGGCTGAGTCACTGGGCAGGCTCTCTGATGGGTCAGGATGCTGGCTGTGCTCTACAGTCAGGTAGGTCCACTAGCCGGACTCTGTATCACCTATGGTTGGACATGGTTGCAGGTTGTGTTCCCTGGCAGGATTGGTGTCACTGGTTGGTCCCTGCCATTGGGTGGGGCTGTAAGCTGGACTCTGTAATTGCTCCAGATCAAGTGGGACCTCTGGCTGAGCTCCCCAAATGTACAGTGCCTCTGGCCGGACTCTATGTTCAGGCGGGGCCCAGGCTGGGCTTTGCAATCTGGTAGGTTGCTATCATGCTCTGCTGTTGGGCAAGGCCACTGGCTAGGCTCTCTGATCAGGTAGGGCCTCCAGCTGTGTCCCACAGTTGGATGGGACTGGAAACTATGCTCCAAAATCAGGTGGGGTCACGGTCTAGGCTCCCTGGTCAGCTGGAACTGCAAGCTAAGCTCCGTGATAATGTGGCCTCCTTGCCTGATAAGGACATGGGCTGTATTCAGCAATTGAGTAGGGTTGGCCTCCACTATCAACTGGTATGATAAGCTGTGCTCTGGGGTGCCCATAATTACTGTTTAGGCTCCCCGGTTATGCGAGGCAGGAGAGTAAGCTTACAATTGGACAGCGTTGGTGGCATGGCTCCCTGCCCTAGCAGAGATGTAAGGAAGATGGGCTCCACAACTGCCCAGGTTCTCAGGCAAGGCTTCCTGGCCAGGCAGGGTGTGGGGTTATGTCCCAAAGTTGGGCAAGCCTGAATATTTGAACTCCACAGCTGATACAGCCCATTGACCTGAGACCCAAACCAGGCAGGACTGCCAACCATGCTCCCTGGGCAGGCAGGCCACCTACTCGGCTCTACATCTGGGCAGAGCCGCTGGCAGGTAGCTCTGCTTGGACGCTCCTGCAAGTCGAATGTGGTTCACCAAGATGTGAGTGCTGGTTGCTGTGAACCCTGTCCCCTTCTCGGTCTCTATGGTATCTGGTCCCCAGTGCTTGAGCCTCGCAGATTCCCTCAGAAATCCCCATGAGGCAAAAGCTGAGTGGGCCTCCCAGGAAGCATCCCACAGTGCTGGGAACGCTGGATGTCCACCTCAGGCTCTCTTTCCCTCTGGAGAAACCGTGAGGCCAGGGAGGAGGAGGGAGAGGGGCTAGTGAGACTCCCATTGCAGTCCAGCACTAGCCCGGAGGAGGGGCGATGTGGTCCAGGTGAAATTGCTCCGAATGCAGTCCTTCTCAGTCTCTGTATTGCAATGAGGAGGGGAAGAAGGGAGGTGTTTCGACGTTGCCCCATTATCATATTCTCACAGTGGTATCTTGTCTGTGCATGGCTCTTAGTTTGTCTTCTCAGGGTAGGGGGGTGGACTGAATTGGAAACAAACTATGTCGCCATCTTGATGACATCATCTTCCTACAATATTTTTTAATACACACCTTATTTACTAATCACAACAACTCTATGAAGTA